CCATTCCAAAAGATGCGTTCCAGCAGTGTTTCCAGCAATGGCAGGAACGCTGGGAGAAGTGTATACATTACCAAGGAGACTACTTTGAAGGGGATTAGGGTTTTGTACCTCAAAGTCAATAAATTTATTTTTGCCGACCAAAGGTCCGATACTTTTTGAACAGACCTTGTATATAATAAAATATATTAATTAAAAAAATTAAAAACTATTGGAGGTCGTTTTTGACAGAAAGTAGCTTTAAATAACTTTACCGAAGTAAAATCTGTGCACTACAACTTTAGAACGATGAATGAAATTTGATAAAAAAGTCCCATTAAAAAACAATTAATTGTTAATTGTGCATCATTAAAGGTAAATTAAAATCGCGGTAAAATTTTTTGAAAAAATTTGGAGACCCAAAAAACATCCAAAAATTGAAGAAAATAATTTTCAGGGGCCGAAAGGACCGAGTTTTCTGTAATGCTATGTAACCTGCCCGAGTTAACTCGGGCGAGGAACTAAAGGGGAATCCTCCTCCATAAGGACCTTAGGTATCATGGCAATCAATCAATTATTTTATTAATGCAAAAAGATGCATGTATCTTAAGTGTGAAACACATACTTTAACCTTTTTGCCTATATTTTATTTTAAAATCTTTAATTAAACATAAAAAAATTCTTAAAACTGAAAAAAGCAAAAGAAATGCGTTAATTTGAAGAGAAAACTTTAAAGTTTATTTTCCATTGTCTGGCCTTCCCGCGAGATCTGACACCGATGAGTAATTGTGTTTTCAGCTGGATGACCTTGAGAACAGCTGGTATCGTCTTTCGTGGAACATTCTCAAAATATACAGGAGGAGAAGGGTTTAAAATAGGGTGAATATAGCTGGCCGTATATTTTTAAGAAAGTTACGTTTTTTATTGCGATTTCCGACCCCCACCCCCGACTTAATTAAACGTATATATAATAAAATCTATTAATTAAGAAATTATTGGAGATCGTTTTTGACATCAGAAACTATCTTTAAATAGCTTTACGGAAGTAAAATCCNTAGAGGTAGGCAGTTTTGTATTAAATTTAATAAATATAAATTCATTTTTAATTTAGACATTTCTGAAATTTAATTTGGAATTGGTCATTGAATTTCATATTAATATGAGACGACAGCATAACTGCCTACCACTAGTCAAATTAGTTAATTTATAATATTTTGGTATATTTATTATATAACATGTGATGGTTGTTAATGTTCATAATGTAATATGTGTGAACACAAGTTTGGAAAAATGTGTGATCACAAGCAAAACTAAGATGCTAGCAAAGCAAGTGCTAAACACAGACTGATGGAGCATATGCACAATTCAGGACTTTCCCTCTTCTCGTTATGTGAAACGTCCCTTGTTAAGCAATTCAATTTTTTGCAATTTGTTTTGCTTGTTACGCGAGGTTTCAGTGTAGTATTAATTATTTATACATAACGATCTAAAGAAAAGAAGACCAAGTAATATAGAAAAAATATGTAAAGCCTATGCCGATAACTAAAGTCTTTAATTATAAATCAAATGTACCTATAAGTATGAAATTCAATACAGTAATACCCCGAACTTACGCAATAGGTGGGACCGAGCGATAATTGTGTAAGTCGGGGTATAATTTTGCAATTTGTGTAAAATCCAAGTCGGATGTATGTAAGCTAATAAATGTTCTTGTTAATCTTATCACGTCTTTTGATTCATTCACGTTTACAAGAAATCATCACATAGAGTCTTTCAAGTCCCCATAGATATAACAAACACAGAAATAAATAACACAAAATAAATTGTAGCTATGTGTCGATTCCGCACGACACATCCAAACATGTAACCTGAACAATAGTGTGGGGGGAGTGAGTAATCGAGAGTTGCGTGGCACTCAAACAAAAGACGAATCGACGAGATTTGAAAATCACGTAACTCTGGGTTCGCATAAGTCGGGGTAGCGTAAGTCAAGGTATTACTGTATATTTAAAATGTATATTGATAAAATAAAAAATACGACAACTTAACCAGAAAATCAAGAAACCAAAATAGAACAAACAATAAAAATGTTTATATTAAATAATTATCTGAAAAACAGTCATCATCTGCATCCAATCAGTTGAGATAAGCCGTGGGTCAGGGGTTAATCTCCTACTGACCACTTAATCAGCAACAGGCTGATAAAACCTGATCTCGGAGTCTGTTGTATGGCTAGGAGGGCAAATCGAGTGGGTAGTGCGTCGGTAAGTCGGCAGGCGTCCTTAATTGACAGGAGACAGGGTTAAAACTAAACAAGCATTTATTATATAAGTAACTAAGCAGTACAAAAGGTTACAAGAAGTTGGCTACACCTAAGAAAAAATGCAAATAACATAAATACGCTTATGGCGATTACACAATTATCCTTTCTCTAAAGGGTTTACTCTAACGACTATTCCTATATGTGTAGAGAGAGAGTTCGCTGGTTCAAAATAATTACCTTCAAGTACTATATGTGGCGACGACAGCTCTTTATGCCAGGGTTGGGCTTGGTCGATGTCTTCTATTGATGCGGGAGACGTGAAATCACTATGACCCAATATAACCTCTGTGAGCGAACTCCCAAGCTTCTGGTGGTCTCCCTTTTTATATCCTTGTTGCGAGAGCTGACACGTCATCAACTGTTGGCGATGACGGTGCATTCTTCACACATAAGTGTAGACTTTCTCAGCTAGTCGTTACACAATTGGTGAAATCCGATCTAGTACAAATTCTTCAGGTTTTTTCCAAAGATAATTAACAGAAAATTTAGGTTTTTAAGAAGCCCAAAAAAATCCGTGAGCTCGCACATTTAACTATTAATATACAAAGAAGAGAACAATTTGATAAAGAAAAAAATTTTGTAAAATTAACATATATACCTAAATTATTTGAAAGGGTAAAAAACATTTTGGCTGGTATAATTCAGGGTGAAAATAAAGATTGTTTGTTCCTCTGAATAAGTTTTTTCCTTGGTTATGAAAAACCATAACACTAGTGCAATATGTCCTATTAATAACTTAGTCCTCATAGACAAACATTTAACAAATTGTAGAAAATAAGGACATAGAGGCATATAAATCAATTCTTTAATGTTGGTTTTTTTTTCTTTGTTATGAACAAGTTTTTTTAAACCTTCCACTGAAAAATCATCATCTTTTGCATTTAATAAATTTCTGACATCTTTTTTTGTCCACATTTTTGAAATATTGATTGAGCCATCTGGATCATTTCATTCTTAATTTATTGAATTTTATTTTCTTCTAGTTCAACTTATTCATCTCTGCATACCTTGTTTATTGCAGTACACCACACTGAAACACACCTTATGAAATTTAATCAATGACTAAATTACTCTGATGTGCGAAACTGTTTAAACAGACAGACCTGAAACTTGGAGTATGTGACGAGTTGATGTTGTTGGGCAGTCAGATGACTGAGCATTAACCTTGAAATTTTAATGTTTTTAAATTATTATGGGGCTTTAAGTTGCATACATTGTTATATCGAGGTTTCATTACCAGAAGTAACACTAACCGAGGTATACCTGTAATTAAACTGGATGAAAGCTTATCACTTTTTTATGAGAAATGGTCTTGCTGTGGCAGTGAATCATCCACGCTTGTTACTACTATGCTTCATAATATGAAGAACATTTAAATCTTGAAAATTTAGATTAAGTTCATATGTCTCATTATTATAGGAATTTTTTTCTCTGTTAGATTCTATATATTTTATGTAATTATTCTAAGATTTAAATGTAAATAAGAACAAAATGCATTACCAAACAATCTGCTAGATTATTTATCATGCTGTATTAAAGCTAATTAATACTCTAATTGTATACAACAATTTGGCTAGAGGTAGTCAGTTAGCTGCCATCTTGAGACAGATTTAATAAATTTAAATTTTGTTTGGTAATGCTGATGTATTGGGTTGATTTACATGTTGCATAAGTTTTTTTTAAGAAATATTGAAATCTTATTTGAAATTGTTTCTGTAGGCTGATAAAATCAAGACACTTCTGAAAGCAGCCAACATTACTGTGGAATCCTACTGGCCAAGTAAGTATTTTGTATTTCATAAATACCCATATTAATTAAATTGGAAGGGAATGTAAATGTCAATCTAAAACTGGTGTCCTGGATTAAATCTAAGGTTTAGAATTGTTTTATATAATTTGGGAATTTATCTGTGTTGATGCTGCCTGCATGTGATTTTTGGATGACATCTGTGTCTTTCCCCACACCAACAATTACTTGCTCTTGTTTAAAGTGAGATGTTGCTCATTCCTGTACTGCCTGACTGAAAACAGTGGTGTGGAGCACATGCAGAAGCTAGTAAAAAGTGCTTGAATGACTGATCGCCTGGGCCATGAGAAGACACATCTTTGCTCCAATGCTCTGTTAGGTTGTAACATGGGCAAACATTCCTGCCAGAATGATGATCCTGGCAGATCTGTCATCTGGGGTGAAGATTTTGTCATGTCCATGAGGTGTGAAAGGCTTCAAATCTTGCAGTGCATTTCTACTCATCCAGGTAATATATAATGCTTGGATTTTATCTTGATAGGCAAACACCCAGATTATATGAAAGCAGCTTTACATTCAAAACTACTAGTTCCCCTCCTTATTATATTAAGAAATCAAAAGATACAAATGGATAATTTTGTTAACTGCTGTGGTTTTTGTAGCATTGTTTGTGAAGGCACTAGAAGATGTTAATCTGTCACAGCTCATTGCAAATGTTGGATCTGGAGTGGGATCTGCTGCTCCTGGACCAGCAGGTGGAGCGCCTGCTGCAGATAAAGAAGCTCAGGCAGCCAAAGAAGGTGAGTGTGTTTCTTTACTGTTTGAAACTATCAAAAAATATTGGATGCAGATTGTCATTAGTAGATTACTGTTAAAACTCCCATCAGTTTTTGGATATATAATAGGATAACTTTCAAAAATTAATTAAATATGATAATACTTACATTTTGAATATTTGTGAGTATCTTGTAGTAAATATTTTTGACTGATTAGGCTAGAACAATAGAATTCAAACTGTTCTGTAGTAGTGGCCCTTTGGAGAGAGTTTTTCTTCCAAAGGTTACAAATTTTCTCTCCAAAGCAGTCTAAGAAAGCACTCATAAAATCTGTGCTGAAAATTTAATAAACTCATGCTTACAAGTACAGAAAGTCCTGGTAATTGCTCCATATGAATCAATGTAAATTCAATTAATTTGTTCTAGGCCAGACATGGGCAAATGACAGCTCTTTTTGAGTTATGTGCTTGCTGAAAGTGTTAATTTCTGCTTTTTATTATTATTTTTACAATTTTATTTCCACAATTTTGTGAAAATATGTTTATTAAAAAAAATTCAATATTTATTTTATTTTATGTGTATATTATATAATAAAATCGCGGTACAGAATAAAAATACAGAATTGCAGCTCCCGTGCATTTTGAAAAACCTACATTTCAGCTCCCACTGAACTTTTGCTTGCTCACCCCTGTTCTAGACACTCCAAAGTACATACCAAAAACACATTTTACAGAAAAAATATAGTGTTTAATACTAAAAATAATAAATTAATATAAAAGACTAATGTAAAGAATAAATAAACATTTAACTTCAGAAGAAGTCCTTTCTGAAGACTCTTCTTGACGTATGGAATATGACGAGGAGGGGGAGAAGTGCAGATTATAGTTTTAATCACTTTAGTTCCCAGTAATTTTTAATATTAATGTAATTAAACATAAAAAAATACTTAAAACTGAAAAAAAATGAAAGAAATGCATTAATTTTAAAGAAGAAGTTTCAAACTTTATTTTCCATTGTCTTGCCTTTCTGTGAAATCTGACACCATAGTCATTGTGTTTATAGCTGGATGACCTTGAGAACAGCTGGTGTTGGATTTCCCAGGGACATTCTCAGAACTCTTGGGAGGCGAAGGGTTTATAGTAGGGTGAATACTAGCTGGCCGTATATTTTTAAACAATTAAAATTTTTGCGATTTCCGACCCCCGACTTAATTAAACGTATATATAATAAAATATATCAATTAAAAAAATTAAAAACTATTGGAGGTCGTTTTTGACAGAAAGTAGCTTTAAATAACTTTACCAAAGTAAAATCTGTGCACTACAACTTTAGAACAATGAATGAAATTTGATAAAAAAGTCCCATTAAAAAAACAATTAATTGTTAATCGTGCATCATTAAAGGTAAATTAAAATCGCGGTAAAATTTTTTGAAAAAATTTGGAGACCCAAAAAACATCCAAAAATTGAAGAAAATAATTTTCAGGGGCCGAAAGGACCGAGTTTTCTGTAATGCTATGTAACCTGCCCGAGTTAACTCGGGCGAGGAACTAAAGGGGAATCCTCCTCCATAAGGACCTTAGGTATCATGGCAATCAATCAATTATTTTATTAATGCAAAAAGATGCATGTATCTTAAGTGTGAAACACATACTTTAACCTTTTTGCCTATATTTTATTTTAAAATCTTTAATTAAACATAAAAAAATTCTTAAAACTGAAAAAAGCAAAAGAAATGCGTTAATTTGAAGAGAAAACTTTAAAGTTTATTTTCCATTGTCTGGCCTTCCCGCGAGATCTGACACCGATGAGTAATTGTGTTTTCAGCTGGATGACCTTGAGAACAGCTGGTATCGTCTTTCGTGGAACATTCTCAAAATATACAGGAGGAGAAGGGTTTAAAATAGGGTGAATATAGCTGGCCGTATATTTTTAAGAAAGTTACGTTTTTTATTGCGATTTCCGACCCCCACCCCCGACTTAATTAAACGTATATATAATAAAATCTATTAATTAAGAAATTATTGGAGATCGTTTTTGACATCAGAAACTATCTTTAAATAGCTTTACGGAAGTAAAATCCGTGCACTACAACTTTAGAATGATGAATGATATTTGATAAAAAATCCCATAAAAAACAATTAAGCGTTAATTGTGCGTCATTAAAGGTAGATTAAAATCTTTGAAAAAAAATTTGGAGACAAAAAACATTAAAAAATAAAAAAAATTCCCAGAAAGTTTATAAGATGGAGTGTTTGTAATGCTGTGGAACCTGCTCAAGTCAGCCTCGAGCGTGGGCACAAAGGGGTTGAATGCTCTGAATTTGAGAGAATTCATACACAGCATTTTAAAAATACAATTTTGGCCAGAGGCCAAATGTAATATGTTACTGGACTTTCTGAATGTCACTGATGTGTATAGGGATATCTGATTACAGTAGACTCTCCTATAACACTGTTGATAATTTCGTGTTATATGAATTCCATGTTATACGAGTTACTTAGATTTTACAAATACGTGTGCCGGGCTGTGAACGGCTCACGTATTTGTAAAATCTAAGTGACTCGTACAACATGGAATTCATATAACACGGAATTATCAACAGTGTTATAGGGGGTATACTGGTATTTATTATTATTTTACTTTTAAATACTTTGTTGTTGTTGGTTTTGTTTATTATTTATACAGTTCTGTCTGCATGTTATTTCTTGTTTTTAGTATTGTTGGTGTTTATATTTAATATTCTATAAAATGTATACAGTTTTACCTTAGACATGGTGCAACTTTGCCTATATGGCTCATGTCAAAAAACTTCAACTAACTAATCTGCTTGGCTTTGGTATGGTATGCTTTTTTTAAGAACACTTTACATCCAAAAGTCAAGGACCTGCCTGGAATTTTGTTGAATATTTTTCTCATAAATATTAATCGAAGCAGAGTCATTCTTTAGACATCAATAGTCTTAAGAATGCTAAAATCTTCGTACAGAAAGTAGCTGAAATATGCTCTGATGTTTTCTTATATTACATTAGACACCGATTCTTGCTACAGTATTTATAAAAGTATGTCATTTGATACTGTGATTTTATTACTCAAAATCATTGTATCTTAATTTCTTACAAGTTGTTTTCTGTTAATTTTTCAGAAGTGAAAGAAGAAAAGAAAGAAGAGTCAGAAGAATCTGACGATGATATGGGATTTGGTGAGTCGTGTTTTTGTATTTATTTATTTGTAAGTTCAAGGAGCAATTTAATAATAATAATTCTTATTAATTCTTTTAGGATTGTTTGATTAAAAACAAGGTATCATTCCTGAGTTCATTTCTGGAGTATTTTACAAAATAAAACTTCTGTAAAGTAAACTTGTTTAATTGCTGTTATTGGTAATTACATTTATTGGTTGTTACATTATAAATTTGGAGGACCCTTTTAAACAAACAAATACAAATTTCTTGATTGTGGTTTAAAACCCTAAAATGATCAAACAGAACTCTGTCTTATGCCAACAAGTAATATGCTGGCAACCACATGACGAGGGACAAGATTAGACACTCCAAACCAGGTCACCGCTGATTAATTTCCGGGGAATCTAACCCAGATGACAGATGCCTTAATTGTCTCAGCAATCTAATCAGATAGATGGGATTAATGATGGATCAGATAGATGGTTTTAGCACATGCATTTGATATAGTACAGTTGTAATAATTTAAACTTTATAACACAACCAACTTCATTATTATTTTTATTAAAAATTTTTGTATTTTGGGGACAATATTCATCTGGGACTTAAATTGGACTTTTGGAATTGGAAAAATATGAAGAAATACGACATCACTACGCCAATTGCCTGAAAATAATTCTGAGATTAGTATACAAAAAACAGTTTGTAAGATGCTACAGAACAGTGATTCTTAATCACATTAGGCTTGTGCCTCCTTAAACTTAAAGTTTACATCTTTTTTCCTTTTACAAATAAAAATTTTATCTAATGAAAAAGGCAAGAAAATTCTTCTGTGGGAAGCACATCTTGTGGATTAAGAACCATTGTAGTAGAATGTATTTTGATGGAATAATTAATGATGTGAATGTGCATGTACTGAATACCTATACATTTTCATTCAAGAACCATACTTTATTTGCACATGAGTATATCTCACATGTTTGATGCTAACAGAATTTAATTTAACCTTGAATTGATTCATGAAGTCAAGTAAAAATTGAAAAAATGGAACCTGTGTGCAAAATAATTTTAAAAGAATATTTTGAAATTTAATGGAGCTAGTTCTTATTATACATGAAGACTATTTTATTTGTGATGGAAATAGTATTTTAACTTATTAATTATAAAATAGAATAAATGTGGGATGGTCACAGTTCTTCAGTGTAGTCTCCATATTTGTGGATAATCAACACCACAAGCTTCTGGGAGAACACAAATGCCATCAGCTGTGTCGTTTTCATCTAGAGATAATGCCTTAAGGCAGAATGATGCAGTCAGTATCTTGGTGATTTCCTCAAATTTCTTTCATGTTTGGGATAAGGTCAGTCACACGGATTTGTGATGCCATCAAGGGTAGGGATTGAAATGCTGCTTGCTTTTACATAATATGAATTTTAAAACTAATTAGAAGCAATGTGATTTAAAAGAATAACAAAACTAAAACTTCTCTCAAATTTATTTTAAACTAAATCTCAAACAGCATTTTTAAAACACTTGATAAAACATTAAACACCTTTCATTGGTGAGAAGTGTTTATTTAATAAAACACTAATGTTTTCAGCCTCGTGGAATAGAGATTATGAGACAATTTCCTGTTGATTCATTTTAATTTCTTTTAGTACTTCATAGTAACAACAGCCAAATAAGTAAACAATAATAGGAACGTTGTCTGATAGACTTGAAATGTCCTCTTCCAAAACAGATATCTGTAAAATATCCAATTTCTTTTAAAATTTTATTATGAGTTATAATTAATGTTAGTTAATTAAATATATTGATTTGTTCCTCATTATGCTATTTTATCTGAGTTTTTCTCCTCTGATTCAAATACCCAAGGTGGTGAAATATTGTATTGACTGTGCGAGCTGTCAGATTTGGTAAATACAATCTTATAGGATCATGAAATTTTTCCGGTAATACATACGGAGGTTGTAATTCTGAAAAACGATACGATAATATCTCAATAAGAGCATATGTAGAATGCCTGAAAGCTACACTGCAGTTTTAGCTCTCCATTTCTGTAACTATGTTCAAACTTTATTTAGAAAGTATTATTTCATCAGTTATTAGGTTTTGTGGGATCCTGCAATTTATCTTTCAGTCTTCTGGCATTCCATATTTGAAGGTCAAATTGCTCAAATAGATAATCTCACTCAAAAATTAAGTTTTCCAATTTCCACCAGTCCCTACTCTTGCCATAATACCTACTGTAGGCCTCGATTCTAGGGGCTTGTGGGTGTTCTAGTGTCTCCACTGATATGTGCTTAGCAATGCCTTCACTTGTAAAGAATGGGTGCATGTATTGTGCAAAAGAATTGAACATGACTGCAACAACTGGCGTTTTTGTGACAAATTGACGGATACGACGTTAAAGGAAGTGACAGTAGTAGCTAGTGTTAACTTCTGTCCCTGTGGTACACAATGAGAAAAAAGAACCACCTGGAAGTCGTGCTATGATCATTACCACTTTTCCCGTATACAGTTCTTGCTGCAGTTTCTTCGACTGCAGGGACGATTGACATTTTGGCTCCGGTTCGTAGGACCTTGCCCTTGTTTTGCCAATTGCAATAAACTTGAGGAAGGATTCTCTTTCATCCTTGTAATGATCTAGATCAGCAGTCACCAATTTTTCTCACGTCACGGATCACTAAACTCAAATGTCGAATCCTGCACACTATCATTTAAAAAGATTTATGATAGTATTTATAGAATAACGATAATTAAAGTTAAATTTCATTTTATTAATAAGAAGTTTAATTTTAACAAATTAGTGTGAAGTTTGTTGCTGCTTGTTTGAAATAAGTTTATCACAAAGAATGACAATTGAACTTATTATTTATTGATTGTGAGGCCCTGGAAATAGCCCCTCCCCCTAAAAAAAGGAAAGATATGTAAAAATTTGTTATGTTAAATCGTCAGGAAAGTAAATATATGTGTCGAATCGGCGACACCCGACTTTGACGTCGACGTTCATCAAAAGTTGACGGAAAAACCAAATTTTAGATGTAAAAAGAAGAAAATTTAAAATATTAAAAGTTAAGACGCAGTTTAGAAAGCAAAACGAAACTAGATAAAAAAAATGTCTAGATGAGCGAAGGTGTCATAGTCAACAATTAAACGCGATCAGATTCGAAAGGATGGTGTCGGATAAACCATCTCCAACCGACCTTTCCCGCGAACTTTACGAAGCTCTGTTTACACCTGGAGACAGGTGGATGACCAATTGGAAAACAGTGATGTAAGATCTATCCAATTGACAAGAAGCCGATCGCAAAAACCCTATAAAAACGCAAAATTCAAGGACAACGGGACTTCCACTTGATTTCCACTTCCACCAAGACTTCCATCTAAACTTCTGTTGTATTCGTGTATCTTCATCTTTTGTGCATCGACTTTCGAGACATCGAACCTTTTTTCTCCTCAACACTGTCCAGGGGCCCCTACGACTCTGGACTAGACCGCCGCCGAAATTCCCGACGACTGTCAACGAGAGACTTTATGTAAGCATTATCGTCCTAAATAAACGGTTTACCTTTGTAAAACACTTGTCTTTGCTGCCGTAAAAACCGCCACCCACATACGCTAAGACCTTAGACCATCCCGACGGTAGGGAATAAAAATCTCCCCCCAATCGGCGTTCTTACAGATTAGTCATTTCGTGTTTGGTTTTGGACTCGAATAAAAAAAATCCAATAAAGGGGAAAAAGAACAAAGAATTTTGCATTTCTTTCGTAATATTTCTCATAACCGTGGGCTGATCAATGCCCAAATTTCTCTACGGATCAATCGGGGACTGCTGCTCTAGATGAATTCGAGCAGTTGCCATTTCTGCACGTCATTCAAAGCGTGGACGCCCAACTTTAGCAATTTGCTCATTGTGTTTACATGCTAAAGATAGAAAATCCCTGCACTCGTTTCTTGACACGCCCATTCACGTTCATTTTCCAATAACCTCAAAATGATTTCCACATGTTATTCTATTTCCTTGATTTGATGGCCGCCATCATGAATTATCTCTCTTCCTGTCGGCGTTATATCAGTGCATCGTCACGCGGTTCACATAATCCTTTGTGTTTACCAAATGTTTGCGTTTCGTCGAGGGCAAATTGAATTTTATGAAAGGTGCGTCGTTAACTGCGAGTAAACATTGATTAAGGCGGAAAAATAAACGTAAGCCAGACAAATGCACCAACACAGTGCGAACAGTCCGGAACGTATTTGGCGGCTTTTCGGTAATTTCCATCATGTTGCCAGTTCAGAAATACAAAAAAACAGTCATATCAATATTTTGAAATATAAAAATCTTGGTTAAAAACGATCCATTAAATTCAATTTTGTCCCTAATTTGGATTTTTTAAATATTTTACTCTAGGATCAAACGAATTAAAAACAAATATCGAATTATCACTATATTTAACGATTATTTACAAAATACAATGCTGCAGATACGCTGGTGTTTGGATTTACTTAATTTGTTAAGTGTTTGTCGCTCTCCTATACAATATGCAGAGGTGGGATGTTTTCCGGAGGAATTTCCATGGGGAAATGGTCACTATTTAGGTAAGATTGCACATCCGCAATCTTAAATCGTTAGTCTCTGATCACCGTGCTGTAGTGGTGTGTGTTTGTTTCGTTAGTTACGGCAACGCAACACTTGGGCGATCTGCCTAGGAGGAGGTCTTTTTAAGGGAAACTGGCTCCTATTTAAGCGTTACGGACGTGGAGAAAACCCGAAAAACGCCACTTGGCCAGCCTGTCCGAGCGAGGCTCGAACTCACGACCAACTAACTACCAGTGTTCAGGGTTTCGTTCACTCTGCCACTGGTGGACACAAATTTATGCAAAATGTTATTTTCCAGGTGGTCGAATGGAATTTTATGAACTCGTACTTAATGCAAGTTAGCAAAATTGTTTTCTTCGATGGCAATATGAATAATTGATATGCTTTTAAAATGCTTGGGATGTTAAATTCCAAACTTGCCAGTACAAACAGATTAAAGAGTAGTTTGCGTCGTTAATCGATTGCTACAATGGAATTAAGATGTGCTTTATTTACCTAATTAATAACGGAGCTTAAAATACTTACCCCGATAACTGCGCTTTTGTCGACTACAAAAAAGTCCAGACAAGATATTCCGAAAGGAGGACCA